CTCGTATAACAATTCAACAAGTAGGTGATCATTAGCGATATAATTACCAAACGTATGAGGTCGAGATTGAATACCATAGGGAGGGGTATAAGAAAAAATTCAATTACAAAGTTAAACCGTGAGTTAATCTCTTGTAGCAAAATAGTAACCAACGAGTAACATAATTTAAATCAACATTGTTCAAGTTATCAATTTAAGATGAGTTAGAAACCAATTTCTTATCAAGACAATAATAAGTTAACACGAGTGACAAGCAAAAAGGTAATCTACGAGTGTGCGGAAGAGGGTATTGATTTTCAATAAGAGTCAATGTGATTGCTCAACAACATCAATCTCACATGAATAGGCTAAATTAAGCTCAAGCACAAAAAATGCATTTCTTCAATCACAAGTTGTTTATCACAAGAGCTTTTTTCAAGCCTCTCATGTAGCACATGCAAAACAATCCAATACCTCAACATTGATTTCTATTTTCAAGCAAATCTTGCATTTAGCAATGAAACCCCAAATTTCTTTTTCCAAGCAAACTTAGAAATCATAGTTAATATACAAGTATCAAACAAACTATCCACTTCGTGCATTCTTGTCCAAGCAAAACATGAAGATATAGACTAGATTTAAGTTTTCAACCTCAAATCATATATTAAAACATGACAATTAGTTTGTATCCATGTAAATCAATGTAAAACTGAGCAATACACAAAAACCAACTATTTTAATTGACACCAAACTTTAATTACGCCACCCCTAGAATCTAGAATTTAGCTACTCATAACGAAATTAACAGAAATTAAACCAAAAACGTTATTTGTCATCTGGATATGAAAGCTTAAAGTTCAAAATTAAGAAACCCAAATCAAAACCCTCAAAGTTGAATTACAAACTTGCTTTACACTCAAAAACTCAAGATATTCTTCTCAATGATAATTTCAGAGCATGGAAGGTGAGTTTTCTCTCTCTTCTCAGCTATTTATAGCTTCTAAAAATTAGCAGAAAATTACATTCTCAAACACTTTTGGTGATGTTAGTCGGGCTCGCCAACACATTCGGTGAGTCACTAACTACTCCTCTTCTCGTTGTTTCTTCCTTGCTTTAAGATTCAGGTGTTTGAACCATAAATGGTGAGCTTAATAGGCATCGCCATTCTTGATCGGCGAGTCACCGAATACCACCTTTTCTTGCCAATTTGTTATTGTGTTTCAGACAAACTTTCTGGCACTTACGGCGATATCATCATCATCTTACCGACTTGATTGGCGAATCGTTGAACCATTCAACATCTCGTCGACTTGCTTTGAGCTCTTCAACTTGGAATTCTGTCATTTTCAACGAGCTCAGGCTCATTTGGCGAGTCGCCGAGTTTATCCGTGAGCTTCAGGTTCACACTTTCTTTATTTTCTATGTTTTTGGCTTTTTGCATGTATTTGTCTTCACCTTGTCCTTAAGTCTTCATAGCTATAAAACAACAATTAAACATCAAATATGGACATAAAATGACATTGAAGACACTATTTGTTGAACTAAAAAACCTCAAATGAGTCCAAAATCTCTGGCTCATCAAATGGCTGCGGGGATTTTAGGTCAATGGATTCAGGTTAGACACTAAGAAAAACTGATGGGATGCACAAAGTAATACTAGGTTGAGAGTGTTCTTCCAAGTTATGTCTAATATTATCTTATGGTTCTTATGGAATATGAGAAACATAGTCTTGCATAGAGGTTCTTATACAAGAAACAAGGTGATGTGGGCTATTAACTCTACCATTTCCAAGTTTAATAGGTTAAAATTTCACACAACTTGTACTAATTGGACACAAATGATAATCATGATGGAAAATTACACACCTATGTACTAGTGTAAAATTGTTAGGTGGATTCCACCTCCTAGTGGTTGGTTGAAATGTAATATTGATGGGGCTTCTAGAGGTAATCCTAGTTTTAGTGTTGTTGCCTTTTATTTAAGAGATCATGAATGCTCTCTAGTGGTTGCTAAAGGCTTCAAGATTTTTTATTCTACTGATTTGGTGGCTGAGGCTAGGGCTATAAGGGAAGGACTACAATATTGCCTAGAAAAATAATTTACCAACATTATAATTGAATCAGATTCATTGTCTATGATTAACATCATTAATAGAGTCTAGGAGATCCTCTGGAGTGTGAGCATGGAGGTCAACACCATTCACAAAATCAGAAGTGTAATCACAGTGAGAGTACAACACTTCTTAAGGGAGGAAAATACTCTTGCTGATTTTTTTTTGCTAACTCAATTTTTAGTTTTGCAAATACAAATGAATTTAATACATAATAGGAAGTCTCAAGTGCATGATGGAAAATAATGGTACTAGATAAAAGCAACACACCAGCCGTAAGATTTCAACAAACAAACACAATAAATAGGTACTATTAAGAGAGTATAAGAACAAGAACAACTTTACAAGTTAATAATTTGAGCTACAAAAGAGGATTCTGATGATTTTTGTTTGAGTTTCATTTTAAGCCTGAAGCAATTTCAATTGGTTGACAATACTTGCACCTAGTGAGAGCATAGAGGTGTTTAAAAGGTACTAAATCAGGGCATAAAAATATCAAATAAAGTTTCACCTAACCTAGTCTTGGTTAATTCAGTCTCAGATTTTCTTGCTCAAAACGAGTACAAATGTAATAATCAATTGAAATACTTAATCTTTTTATGGTTGTATCAATTTCATTGTGGGATTCAATCCATTAAAAATTGGGAAATGCAATTGAAAGTTACCTTGATTGTTTCATCTATCTACTTAGTTACAACAACAATAGATGAAGCCTATCCTCGATTTGAACAATCTAAAGGGAGTGATCGATCCTAAGAAATTATTTTAAGTCAAAATGAAGAGTTTACTTACTTGCATCTTTGAAGCTACATCAATCCATATTGGCTATGCTATTGAAGAGTTTTGATCGACTAAACAAATTGATTAAGGACCTAGAAAAACAGTTCACCAATATTATAATTGAACTTCTCCAAAGATCAAATCCTGATGAATTAGTTTCATGCAAAGCTTTACTCCATAAATGTTGTCAACCTATGGAAGAATTGAGTACTAATTTTGTGAAGAGTTTACTTGAGTGAAATCAGTTGTAGATGTTGAAGAACAAATCACTGAAGAGCATACTCAACTGGTCTGATCGGACATTGTTGAGAGGGCTTAAATCTCATCAACTTCCGATCGATGACTTCATAACTTCACTTTCCACTTCTAGAATTTTCCTTTTGTTTCCTATTTCTTATTGCATGTTCTTTTGTTTTTAGACTTTCTGTCTTTAGATTTTTTTTTATGGGCTTTGACACTTTGTGCTAGCTCTTTTGTACATATTTTTTAATTAAAATCTGACTCGTTTACATCTTTAAGCTACAAAAAAAAAAAAAAAACCTTTAAACATAAAATTTAGCATTATTTATATAAAATTCAATTCATTTTTTTACATTATCAATACATGTGTAAATTATGTGATAATTTATTTGTTATTTTATTTGAAATAGAATGTGGAAGTATATAATAAAATTCATATGCTATATATACTATATACAATATTATTTAAAATAACCCTAAATAAAAGATGTACAAGATTCATAATACATGTAATAAAATTATTAACTGACAATATCTTTTATTTAATATAAATTAATATCTTATTTGATTTGTTAGGTAAACGGTGGTTTTATTTAATATAAATTAATACACTATACAATTTTTTAGTACAATTACACAACAAATCAAACATCTCATAAAAGTACGGCATTACAAAATCATGCATAACAATATTATTTTCTGTATTAATAATTCATGCATAATAATATCCACCCATAATTTTCTTCTAAATCAATGACTCTTGAGAACACATTTGTATAAGAATTGTTATTTTGAAAAATAGTATAACTATAATTAAAACATTTGAAAGTTGAAAATTATATTTTTAATAATAAAAACTTCTTTAAAATATTTTTCAAATTTAAAATCAAAATACGGGTCTGTTTGGAAATCCACCATGTAATTGGAATTGGTGTAATTACTAAGGTAATAATTACCAACATAGTAATTACGCTGACCTATTTGTTTACCACAGAGTAAATACAGTGTAATTACAAGTGTATTGTTTGGTTGCACAAGTGTAATCATTTAAAAATTTAAGGTTATATTGAATTTTAAAAATAAAATTAATTATTTAAAATAAAAAATTTATATTAGACAAATAAGGGACTTTATAAATGATATTAAATATTTAAGATATATATTGTCTCTTGAAAAATATTAATTAATAAACATATGTTCTTAACTAATATTATCAAAATAAATTTATTTGTATTTTTCAATTGAGTATATTTTAATTAAATTAATCATAAAAACTAAAAGTACATAATTTCTATGAACATCATGAAATGCATGTTTGACAAAAGGATTAATATTATAAATATAATGTCATAAAATTTTATAAACATTTGCTAAAAAGATAATATATCAAGTCTAACTTTAAAAAAAATAGCTTGTAATATAAAATTTTGAGTCAATACTCCTAAAACAAATTAAATTAAAAATATACCATAAGTTCTAAATTCAAAACAAAAAATTTAACATAATACTCTTATGTCAAATTTCAACATAACATACATAAATATGATTTAAAAGAAAAGAAAAACGTAAGTCTATAACTTTATTCAATAATGAATTCTACTTCAATTTAAAAATTATTAGAATACTAACAAAATTATACTAATGATTATTTTTAGAAGATACGGAAAATTGCATGGAATCACATGAAGTAAAGCTTGAGAATAAGAAGAAAATGAAATATAAATAATATTAGAAAATATTAGGATAATAAAAAAAACAATTTAAAATAATAAAAATATTACATTAAAACGAAAAAAAATAAAACAAAAATAAAAGAAAGAGATTAAAAAGTAATCAACTTGCTTCCAAACAGGCCCTAAGCGAAAATAATCTCCAAAGTAATACTTATATAAGGATTTTTCAGGGAGAAATGACAGGGATTAGAGACACGATGTACAGAAGAGAAACAATGACCGCAGCAGTACAGAGAGAAGGACAGCAACAAACTCATTTCGCCGACGATGGTGACGACGATGACGTCGCCGGCGGTGGCAGTGGCGGTGGAGGAGGAATGGAGTCCATAGAAGACTGTTCTCATCACATTGGCTACGACCATAACCACCACGGGCTCCATAACGGCGCCGATGGTACCATGGCTACTACAGCGGCGGCGCTGAATGGTGTGGAAGGCGTTCCGCATAACTCTATGTATGTCCCTGGCTCGGAAATGGTTGGTGGAGGAAGTAGCGATCAGCTTACGCTGTCATTTCGAGGCGAAGTGTTTGTGTATGATGCTGTTTCTCCTGAAAAGGTGCTTCTTTGATTTAAGTCTTTCTTCTTGTTCTAGTACAAATAATTATGCCTTTACATGGGAATCTTTATCGCCTTTTTTGCAGTCTGTTTAGTATTAGGTCGATACCACGCGGACCACTTGGTTTCTAAAAGCGTAGGATAAACTAGGGTTTTGTTAGAGAGTCTATTGTACATAAATCCAGGCAGACATTCCCCATCAATAAGGTCTTTGCTTAGTATATTCATGGATAACATTACATGGTTTCCACAAGGACTGAAAAACACTAAGTTTTGTAGGACTTAGAAGACCAGGCAAACACCTGCCTTAATGGAATGAACGTGTCCAAACGAAGCAAAATGTATATTGAGGATCCATATAACCAACTGTAACTAGCTTGGGATTGAGGTGTTGTTGATGTTGCTTTTGTAATTGAGGTGATTCAAGACTTGGGAATTGGTAATTTCTAAGATTCGGTTGTATGTGAATGATGAGTTGGTATGAAAAGTTGATTAGCCTTCCAAGTAAGGAGGTCAACCAAGGTTTTTGCTTTTCCAAATATAGGAGTTACTCTTAAATTTAAGAACTTTACAGAGATGGGTTAACTTTAATCTAGCTTAGTTTGCTTGAATTGCTGTCTGCTTATCAACAAGCATCGTGATGAATCAATCTTGAAATCAATTATGCCTCAATCCCAATGAGGTCAGCTAAATGATTATTCTATGATCTTTTCCGCTCTAATTAGGTCCTTTTTTGTTGGAAATGGTGTATAATTTTGTCATTAAGGCAATCACTATATGGAGAAATAATGGTTTTTTGGGTCTCCGTTGATTTTCAGGTTCAGGCGGTGCTGCTGCTGTTGGGGGGATATGAAGTCCCTGCTGGCATCCCTACTGTCAATATGGCTTCCCAGAGTCATAGGGTATGTATTTTTACTCCCTCCTGTAGTGTTCTGCTGTTACACTGGTTTACAATCATTTATGGTTCTTCTCTTGCAATTTCCCTAGGCTTCAAGTGAAGGTCCTGGAAGATTGAATCAACCACAACGGGCGGCTTCTTTGAGTCGTTTTAGGGAAAAAAGGAAAGAAAGATGTTTTGATAAAAAGATCCGATATACTGTTCGGAAAGAAGTTGCACTTCGGTAATATAGCTTTATTTATTTCCTTAAAGATAACGTTGGAAGTGTTGGATAAATGAAATTCGACCATGTTTGATGTACCATGACTAATCAGTAGTTATCTCCACCAATTTTTGTTATGTCTCTAATTTAACTTACCTTTATTTTAGTTGGAATTGGAGTATTAAATACACTTATTTGATGCTTTACATTCGTCACTTTTTGTTGCTCTAGATAGCTATGTGGAGTGTGTGAGGAAACAAAGAATTGCCTGAAACGTTAGCAAACTGTTTCCATATGCTTCATAGAAGAACAGTGACAACTTGTCCCTTGTAAGGCATATTGTTATGATACCTTTCTGCTAGTTCCTCATCTTACTGAATGCTAGAAGTTTCTGTTATTGCTGTGCTGCTAATTGTATGGTATAAATGAGTTCAAGTCTCCTGCTTTTAAGTTGGAGTGGGTAAGACTTAAAAAGAAGAAGCTGGAGTGAGTGAGATATATATCAGTTGTATTTTCCTTTCCCTGATATATCAGTGGTTTATTATTTACTTAGTTTTAGACTTTTAGGGATAATTTCAAAGACCTCCCCTCAGGTTTGGCTTCATAACTAAGTTGCGCGGACTGTTCACTTCTGATGCCGCACCCATGTCGGATTCTCCAAAAATACACCACTTTTGGCGAATCCGACACGCACCCCTTGACATTATTGAAGAGTCTGAGCAACATAGCTTCATAATGCTTACCTCCCTCATGGTTTACTGATTGACGCTCATCTCCCTTGTAAATAATAATAATTATGTATATTCCAAGTTTACCCTTTTGCAACTGTACAAGTTACAGCTCCTTTGGGGACTTTCTTCTTTTCCTCTTCTTTTCTAGTTTCCTGTGTTACTTTTTCTTGATTTATCGGATGCTTCTAACCTATTGCAAGATTTTCCCCAATTTACAGCTATCTAATTTTGTTGATAAACAGGTAATGTACTAAGTTTCTTTAGTAGTGCTTGAAATTTTCCATCTCAAACTCTGAAAAACTTGAAAATCCGCAACTAGCAAATTTATGTTGACTAGGAAAGTATGGATCACTTCAAATTAAGGGGAGTTAATAAAGTTTGACTATTGTAAACTTGGATTATACATGACTTTTATTACTTAAAACTAGTTTAGTTACAAAAGAGATCAAATTAAGGAAGGCTGGTGTCATCTCAAACCACAAGGGAACTAAGTATTATAAAGGGAACTTGGAGGGAGGTCTATGAAATTATCCCTTAGTTGTATTTATTTATTTTAGTATATACATTGGGTACTAATTTATGATTCCCTTGTTGAGATGAACGTACAGTAAACAAAACTGCAAGCTCTAAAAAACACCTTTTGGGAAATGGAGATACCACTAAGTTGTAAACATAATCAGTTCAGTTCTATGTAACATAACAAAAGATTAGAAAGTCATGGAAATATGCTATCTATCCAGAAGTGAAAAAAAGGAAAAACTTCAGCACATGCCTCTTAGCTCCAGATGAAAGGGATTCACTGCTGTAGATGGTGATGCTTTTGCCAAAGTACTATCCATCAAGCTGAGGAGGAACAGAGAATGTTATAGTGGCAGAGCATGGGCACCCCTCCTGAAAAATGAAAAAAGCAGATGTATTTAGTGAAAGTGAACATGAACTGAAAATTTAACCACAAATAAACCATTGCTTGACATGTGAACATGATAGTTTTTTTTCATGGAGAAGTGACAATGAAATAAGAGTATTAGGAGTGGGTTTTATGGACTAAATGGGTGGGTACGATATTAAGTTGGGTATAATAATTAAATTAGGAGGAAATTTAAGTGGAATAAATATATATATCCATGTAGGCATGCCACATAGGCACCACATAGGAGGATAAAAGCGGGGAGATGAGACTTAACCATCTCAAGAGAAAATATGTGCCTAAAGTTGGATGGTAGGGGCAAATATATCAAAAAAGTATGATGAAGGGCAACTATAACCTTGACTTCCTTACACTCATAATGGGTTCACCAATGCCATGACTGGATATGCACTTTCAGTAGCAAGATCATTGGAGGAAACTTTGATGGAGCTTAATGGCATTTGCATACTAGAGTGACACATACCTTGTCAATCTGTTGACTTGGTATTCGATTTGGTGGGTGGATTCTGGGTGTCAAGCTGGTCATGGTAATATGTACAAACATTATATTAATGGTAGTGAATGGAATCTTCCATTGGTTTATCTCTCATGTAAGGCTTATTTTAATCTTCATTTCGCGGGCATGTCAATTTGGAACTCTCCTCCTATGGAAGTAAAATGGCTAATGCTAAAAGATGTTTGTAGTGACATCTAGTTGTGGGCTTGAGACAGTGTAAATGTTGTGAATGCAATATCTTCTTTTCTTTTTCTTTCCCCATATGTTTTGTAGGTTGTGTTTGGCCGTGGTTACAAGTTGTTTTTAAATATTTGTGAGAATTTAGAGTGGAAATTATTTTTAGGTGATTCGTCCCATTTGTCCTAGCCTTGGTGGATAGAGTTTTCTGATACTTGTTGTTGGTGGGAGGTAATATGTATCCCTTGGAATTAGTCAAGGTGCGCAAAAGTTGGCCCAGTCACCACCGTCATAAAAAAAAGAAAATAACTTTTTGATATTTTTCAAATTCCTAAAAAGTTGAATTTTGAATTTTATGACCAAATTAGTAAACTCCAAAAATATAAAATAAAAAAAAATTCACGGTCAAACACCTCTTAGTCCAGTGATAAAATTTTACTAGAGAGTTCTAGGGAGGGGTGGAGGATAGGAAAAAATTATAAGGTTACTTGGTTTTTTTTATTTTTCTGTTTGAAGCTCTAAAGTTCAGTCTTTGCCTATTTTTTGACGTGCAGGGTCTAGTTACGGTGGTCATTCAAAGTAGTTTTGGTCAAATTGATCTGTGGTCTATTGCATCTCACAGTTCTTGGATTTATTGTCAGGATGCAGCGAAAAAAGGGTCAGTTTACATCTTCCAAGACAGTATCTGATGAAGCAGCTTCTTCTTCTGCAGAGGGGAATGCAGGCTCTAGCCAAGAAGAACAGGAAACATTGTGAGTGTCAGACTTCACTAGTTCTGTAGTCGTTTGTGTTTCTGTTCTGTTGATTAAGTCAGACAGTAATAGTGATAACCTGTTGACCCATTATATACCAGAATATCCAAACTATATGTGGCGTCTAAGTTGGAACTGATCAAATCAAACAAATGCAGCAGCTGAGATCTTATTTTCTTGTTGTCTCAACAGATGTAGACATTGTGGAACTAGTTCGAAATCCACTCCTATGATGCGCCGTGGACCAGCTGGCCCGAGGTCACTTTGCAATGCATGTGGACTGACGTGGGCCAATAAGGTTAGTATTGTGTTTGAAAACTATACACCTTGGTTTTTCCACTTGTCAGTTCACATGATAATTGTGTCTTGACATTTTGTTCCATTTATATGAACCTCATTATGTAAATAGTATTGTGTGTTGTGTTGTACTATTCTCGTTTTCTATGTTTAAGGGATAAGCAGTGATCCCTTGACCAAATTTTGGAAGACATTATTTGTTGATATGAAACTGGGTTAGGTAGGAAGGTGTGATTGGCACCCAAAGGTACGGCCTAGTTGTCAATGAAGTGAGAGGAGAACCATGAGGTCTCAAGTTCGAATCTAGTAGATGCAAGAAACACTAAAAGAAGGTGTTAAGGGGAAGTTATTGGGAAGAAACAGGAAACACAGGGAGGAGATTGATAAAGCATCATACCTGAATGTTTTGTAGGGATGTGGGACAGTTTTCTGCCAACATGAACGACATGAGAGGAGAACTTTCAAATTCAGTCGAGAAAGGTACTGAAGGAAAGATTGTTGGGAAGGAACATGAAGAACATCAGCGATTTGAATAACTTTAAAGGCTATGTATGCAAAATATCAAATTCTGCCGAAGAAGTTGCTGTATGAAAGTTGTTTGGAAGATTGGGAAAGACTGTGAAAAGAGCCAAGAGGCCTTCGTCCGCATCTGTTATGAAGAGTTACGTTGTATATGAAGGGAAACGACTGAGTGTGAAGTTTTGGAAGGAGGGGAAGGGTACTTGTGGAAATATATTAAAATATAAGGGAGTCCTTGCTTGTGTTGGCACCATGTCACCAGGTTGAGGGTTCTCTTTTATATATGTACTAGTAAAGTCACCCGCGCTTCGCGCGGGAATTTAATATCACGGAATTTATAAAATAATACTCTACTTAAAACCTATGAGTCATTAAAAGTAAACACTATATTATCTTATATACAAGATTACGTAGTAACAAACATTAATAATGTAAAGGAAGATGATAATTATAATATCTTATCATTTATCCTTCAATCAATCATCTTTAATTTGATTTTATAATTTTTATAATATCTTATCATTTATCCTTCAATCAGTCATCTTTAATTTGATTTTATAATTTTTATAATATCTTATCATTTATCCTTCAATCAGTCATCTTTAATTTGATTTTATAATTTATCTTTTTGTCTGGGAAGTGTTACTATTTGATATTTTTGGGGATTCAAATGAACATCAATCGGAGATAATAAATTTTCTAATAAATAAATAATTATTGGTGAAGGGATAAATAAATTTTAAAAGGATGAAAAAATGAACAAATATTCTAATTCTAACGTGTAGAAAGTTCAACTCTACCTTTTGTTTTACATATATCATTTTAAAGTTCCCTATTTAAATGTATCATAAGTAATTATTAAAATGAAAAATTAAAGGGCGAATGTACCATATTGGACAACAATTCAACTTATTATATATATTTGAAAGGTAAAAATATTACACAAATTATTCAGTTTGTTTGAGCGTTTTTTAAAAATCAGCATACCATAGTGATTACAACTTGCAGTAAACTTGAGAATATGTCCATACTTCATATTGAATATGAGCAATTAATTTACTATGTAGTTATCTATGTCTTTGGGATTAAAAGAGGCTACAGTCTTGTCATATTCCTCTATAGGTCATCTGACGCATCCTTGAACCCAAGTCAATAGTTTATTAATTCTTGTCTTCTTTTCCAGGTTCACTTCTCACATCAAGGTGCGATAAAGTTTTTAAGGTCTTTATGTCCTTACAATGGCACACCAAATTTGATTGTCTTCAAGAGATTGTAGTATAGATCTTTAAGGAATTTTTTTACTGTACCTTCAACAATTTCAATAGAGAAAACTTGCGTGAATACTCAACTAACGTGTGTTATTTAATCTGTTCTAATAAATACTTATAACAATAACTTTGCAGAATCATAAACAACAAAGTTAAAAATATGTACTCAAAAAAAGCAATTAATAACATAAGCATAAATTAATGACTATAAAAAAAAACATACCGAGATCTGTAACAATAGGATGAACATGAAGGAAAAAATCGTACATGAATATTTAAATGTTTATTGTGCCTTATCAAAAATGTCACAACTCTTCGAAAAAGTTACAACCCTTCGAAAGGTCATAAACCTTTCATAATAGGCACAACTTTTCATAAAAATCACAACTCTTCATAAAAGTCGCAACTTTTCATATAAGTCACAACTTTTCATAAAAGGCACAACTTTTCATGAAAGGGGAAGGCTAGTTTTGGAAATAAATAAATAAAAAAGGAATCCTGGTTTGTGGTGGCGCCACGTAGGTGGGCCTAGGGTTCTCTTTTATATATATATATGATATGATATATGATTTATGGGGATTCTCTTAACTAAAAATAAATTCAACTAATAATTAAATCATTCATGAACAAATCAAAGTAGCAACAAATGTACAATTCAATAGTTAACTTCAAATATTATATCCCAAGAGGAACTCAAACATATTTTATCAATGTACGTTATGTAAAGGAACCCGTCTTCGTACTTGTTTTTTCTCAAAAACTAGTTTTAGGCACAATGTTCTTGATAAAGACAATATAGTCTTTTAGTTAGCACAATAAGTGTTCCACAGTGAGACACATCATTCCTTAACATAGTTTTAAATTTTTAAGTATCTTATACTTTGATTTTGTCATTTTATTTTTCATTCACACCGAAAAATCGATTTAAAAACATCGACAAACTGAACCGAAGTAGAAACTATCGAACCGAACTAAATTAGTTTGGTTTGGTATACGGTGCACACTTTTCTAAAACTGAAGAACCGAACCAAATTTGATAAAATCGAATTGAAGAACCCAACGCTCACCCCTAATAGAAGTTCATGCCAGAAGGTGATGACAGTTCAATGAGTCCAAGATTACAAGATGGAAAATTGTTTTGGCATTTGAGATTCAAGAGAAATTTTCAGGATTGAGAAGTGATAGAATTCCAAAGGCTTATTGATTTACTCTACAAGCAATGTATAACACATGATAGAGCAGATGTATGAAGTGGGGGTGGGGAATAAGAGAGTGCTCTCTATTAAAGCCTATTATGAGAAGTTTTTGATTAGGAAGGAGGTGGACTTCCTGTATAGGTCGATTTGGATCTGGAAGGTACCAAGAAAGGTATGTTTTTCCACTTGGTTAGCAGCTTAAGTGGTGATCTATTGATGACTCAGAATCTAAGAAAGAGGAAAGTTACTTATGTCGGTTCTTTATGTGCAATGATTGAGGTGATGCTGACTACCTCTTATTCATTGTCCTATAGCATCAAAATAGAAAACTTTTGAGGGTGTAGAGATGAATTTTGTGTAGTTAAGGAATGATATTTCACCCCTTGTATCTTTTTGGTGCATCCATAAGGTGCCTTTATGTATAGAAGATTGGGTGTCATTAGTAGAAAACCATCTACTTTTTTGTTACTAGTGTATGTTTTCTGTTCAAATATTAATAAAAGTTATTACTTTATCTAAAAACTATAACGGTAACTTTTAATCCCCATTATTATTTCAACCATCATAGTATAAATATATGTAATAATTCAACAAGAAGACATGCATTAGATTAACAAGGTTGTACCATATGACATAAAAACATGACTTATGATTACAAGGAAAAAAAGATTTTTAAAAAGGATATCACGAGCTAAAAAATGAAAAAGAAGACGAGGGAGAAGCAATGGTGCATAATATTTTTTACAGAAAGACCATAATAAAGAAAAGAAAGGTCAAACTGGAACCTCAAAAGGTAAGATTTTTCTCTTGGAAAATCAAAACAAATTTGAATTATTTTTACATTTTCGAAATTTTTGGTTATTTTTTTCTATAACCCAAGTGTAGGTTGTCTACATCACATCCCTGCTAACACGGGATGCTTTGTGCACTGGGCTGCCCTTTTTAACCCAAGGTTGTTCTTCCAAACACCACCTAGTTTTTGGGTTTCGAAAAGCCAAATGTGCCCAAGGTTCATATTCGCTATCTCAAAGATGACCCTATAACTCCAAAGCACATCTCAAAGTTTATTAGCCATCTTATGAGATTTCAACTTCAAATGCCCTGTAATAGTATACATGTTGAATTGATCCTTTAAGCTGCATATGAAAAGGTGAAGTGTAGAAGCAGACGGAGAAAAAAATGATGACCCTATAGCTCCAAAGTACATCCCAAAGTTTATTAGCCACTTTATGAGGTTTTAACTTCAGATGTCCTGTAATACTTGTTAAATTGATCCTTAAGGCGGCACATGAAAAGGTGAAGTATAGAAGCAGAAGGAGAAAAAAAATGAGAGAAGAGTTGAAGGACATGAAATTAACTCTACTTTCTCCTAGTTTTGCAAGAATATTGGCTATATTATTAACCAACGCCAACAGTTCTTCTACATCCTCCCTCCTTTGCTCACTTTTCGTTGAACTGTATCTTTTATTATGTAGTTAACTCTTCCTGACAGTCTGATTAGTTGGTTATTGTTTCTCTTCTATATTCATATTTTTATCTAGTGTCATACTATGCTTTGAATGGATTATCTTATGACTTACTCGCCATGTCTATTGGCTTTGCAACACTGCTAGGACATTTAAGTACCTATTTTGCAGTTTCACCTTGTAGAGAATGTATTCTGTGGTTAAGTGTGCCTCTTCTTTTTACATTAGGCTATTGAACTCAAAATTAGGAATTATCCTTCTCCTTCGGCAGTATATTTGCGCTTCTTTTTGGTTGAGTGGGGATGATAAAACTGGACATATTACCTTTCTGTCACTGAGATCCCTTTTCAGGGAGTTGCTTTCTATGAGGAGCTTTGTAATCGCAAGATGCATACTTGCAAAGTGTTAAATGTTTTCAGCTTCAAAAGTTGACAATGAAATCAACCATCTTCTGTGTTCGTAAAAATAAATGTGTAGAGAATTTTCCTACCAAATAATAAAACTACTTGGTACTCTTTATAATAAAATTACCTTGCAGTCTGTGGAGAGGGGAGGATGTATGCAGACCCTTACCCCTACCTTTGGGGGTTATAGAGGCAAGGTACTTGTTCCCAAAAAAAAAAGGGGTAAAAAATACGAACTACCAAAATTAGTTCTTCAAATGACTGCAATTAGTTGTATATACTTCCTGCTCATCAGTAAAACTGTGTCTGATCTTTTCTCGGCAGTCGGCACTGAATGTGTAATGTTATGCTTTCACAAATCAAGTTCTTCTAGAAATTGGTTACCTCCTAGGTGCCAAGTGGTGAGTGATCTCACTCTTTAAGTGTTTCGTAAGTTACTTCCCTTCAATGCTGGTTTATCTTTTCATTCCTACTTCCAAAAGTTGAATTCTGGAATCGTATATTTGAATATGTAATTTTCCTTTCGCCACTTTTTGTTTCTTCTCCTCTTATGTCTTCCATTCAAAAGACTCATCAGCCAGCCCTTTGGATGCTTTCTTCAAAATTGCCCTTCGTCTATCAATCACATGTTGGGTTTTTTGGTATTTTCTATGAATGAAATGTTGTATTCTTATCCAATAAGTTCATGAAATGTATGTTGTTTTGCTTTCAACACTCTTTTCCTCTCAACTTCTATTTTTATGTTTTGATGTAAGTTATAATCAGAACTTAAAAGTCATTTCTATCATGTCCAAACAGTAATCTGGTTGTATGAGTGGTCATGTTACTTTTCCTTTGTGAATTTTGCAGGGGATTTTAAGAGATCTTTCTAAAGTTTCAACTACAGGAGCTCAGGAGCACTCTGTGAAATCTAGCGAACAGGTGCATCTCTCTCTCTCTCTCTTTGGTGGGGTTACGTATATCCTTTGATATGTAATCTCTGAAACCTAAACTAAACTTGGTATGATATTTTCACTGGTAGAATAATGGTGAAGCTGATGGATCAGATGTTATGGCGGCTGCTGGTATCATCACATCAGATGATGAGAACATGGTGCTTCCGTCTGAATGATGGTAGAGAGCTCTCTTATTTGTGGTCACCTCTGGTGGTGTTGAACTAAAATATCATGTGTCTAATATCTGCCAAAGTTGCATACATTTGTACATATGATACTGTAACTCAGGCAAACACATTGCTGAGATTTTAGGTTATTCCATCATATAAGTTTATTCTGCTATTTTAAATGTAATTAATTTTGAATCAGTATCCGACATCTTATTTAAGCACTAAAGCATTTTTAGTAGTCTCTCTTTGATCATATAAATGCAGTGAAAAACTCAACGCTAATATTCTTGGAGTGGAGCCTTCGTTTTGCACTAGTATTATATGAAGGTACTTCTAGTTTAAATTAGTAGGTACGTTGGCACCAACCATGGTATAAACAAGTTACTCATCATGTGAAAGAACTATAACGAGGTTGAAAAACTGAGGGTATTATTACAGACCGAAGAGTGAACATCAAACTATGCACACTAGAAAGAGGTTTTTTTTGGGTTTACCACTTGGTGTTTTGTATGGTATCTGTATTAAGTATATGATTATTTCGGATTCGTGTCAGGTAGGATCTCATTTGGGGGTAGTGCAAACTACCAAGAATTTTTTCATATCTAAAATTGCAACCCGAGACCTTTAATTAAGGAAGGAGCAATTAGATGGGGAGAGAGTTGAATTTAGGATATATATACTTTAATATCACTTTGAAGGTACTTATATTTTGACCATTTTTTTGCTTTTATGGCATTTGATCGAGAAGTTGATCAAGTTGGACGAATTAAATTTATATATACATACGTAGGTACGTACATTGTAATGACCCACTCCCCGGCGTTTGGATTTTTCGCATTTTCGAGTCGTTCAGGACAGAAGGGGGAATATGAGGTTATAAAATCCAAAAATTAAATATAGTAAACATTTTAGTTAATATGCTACATTAAAAAATATATAATAATAATTCAAACAAACCCCTTATTCTTGAGCACAAAGTTATGTATTTTCTTGGTCACTAAGAAAGCCGCGTGAACATCTATAATCATATTTATTAAAAACAAAATATATACTTAGATTTGGTAAGAAATATTATCTTCATCGACATCTCTTTGCATATCTAGGGTTTTTTGTGATCTCAATTCTCTTCTCTGCGTTTTCGCCCCCTCAGCAAGAAATCATGCCTCGCCGAAGCTCTGGTAATAAGCATATTCGATCAACTATTCATCTTTCTGTTTAGATCTATTTTGCTTATTGGGTTTTTTTTCCATTGATTTTTGGTTACTTATGGAAATTGATTGATACGGATATGGATCTTTCTTTACAATGAAATCGAACGATTAATCTTCTTTCCGTTTTTCTTTTCATTTGGTTGACTTCGTATTCGATTCAACTGATTTGAATCATCATTTTTTTTTTTGAAATAGAACTGATTTGAATCATCATTAAGTTACCGTTTTGCTTTCTATTTGAGTTTACTCACAGTTTAATCATATCATACTGACTTCTTATCTTCCTTGCTTGACCATATTAAAAGTAATTGCTTTAACCAAATTCCAATTGTCTTTTAGCCTTTGAACATGAATGTTTTCTTCTCTTATAACTTTTCTATTATTTTGAAATTAGTGCCTAAGATTTGAACTAGTTGAGTTTTGAACCCGTCAACCACTAAGCTAACCTTATTCAAGAGGTTTAAAATCAATATATACACATAAAAATTCTTTAAAATACCTTATATATACAATGTAAGCTTTTGCCGAGGGGTTCATGTTTACCTCTAGGTCCAGGGGTGCTTGCAAGTATGCTTACGTAATGAAGAAAACTGTACAAGGTTTAAATATTGATACAGTATTTGGTGCCTCAATCAGTGGTTATTACTTAAAGTTATTTTTCATGGGCTTAATTATGTGACAATTAAATAATCTCAATTGAGCTCATGTTAGGTGGAACTAGGAATTCCTTTCTGCTTAGGTTGATTGTATTTCTGGCTTTGTAGTTTGAGATGAAAATAAGGTTTTGTTGTATTGAGAAGCTAATTGCAGAATTGGTTCTTCTCATTAGCATTTTCACCGAAGAGCCAGTGTTTAATTCTGGTTATGTAGACAATATTTATTTTTAGTTGTGTCCTCTAGATTTGTGTGTCCAGCATTAGACCAGGAAGTTTGACATGAGATTCAACAATTCCTAAAAGGAGCGGGATTTAGCGTGAATTTCTTAATGAAGGCAAGATAGATCGCCTGCAGAACTGCTTAAAACCTCAATTATAGGAATTTGTTTTAATGCAGTGTTCTTCATGTTCAATGTATAGGATTGAGGTAGTAATTTTTTTCCAGTTGTATTTAGAATATGGTTTCCTTCCAATTCTGTAATATTATTGTTTTGTTAGTTGGTTGCTCTAGTTCATTTTGATTCTCCATTAATGTTGACACTTTAGCCGCTGTGCTAAGGTCCACTGTTGTAATTTATTAGAGCAGTTTCATTCTTTGCTAAAAGGAAAAAGGGGGATTTTTCGTCCCTCTTTTGTTCTGGTTGATGATTTTTAATTTCCTTGATTTGTTGTTTAGGAAGATCTGCTCCTCGTCCTGCCCCTCGCGCTGCCCCTCGTCCTGCTCCAGCCCCAGGTTAGTTTTTTTTGGTAGTCAGGCTTTTATCTCTTGGCAACTTGTGTCATTTGGTTGATGTGATTTAATCTTCCTTCCTTTGCTCGTGCATTTTCATATTCTATCTTGATTTTTGGCAGCACATCATGCTCCTCCACCAGCTCCCATGCAAAGTAGTGGTGGTGGATCCATGCTTGGTGGTATTGGTTCTACCATAGCTCAAGGTATGAGTATATTCTGCAGTGTGTAAACTTTAACGAGTTCTTCAATTATATTTTGTTGCAAATTTGCTTAAAGATGTGATTATTATGTTTTACAGGTATGGCCTTTGGTACTGGAAGTGCTGTGGCACATAGGGCTGTAGATGCTGTCATGGGTCCACGCACTATTCAACATGAAACTGTTGTTGCTGAGGCAGCAGCAGCAGCTCCGGCTGGTTCTGATGCTTGTGGTGTGCACACTAAAGCATTCCAAGATGTAAGTGTTAATTTCACTCCTTTTAACTACTATAATATGCAAATCGGAGGTTATTCTTTCAGCCTTCCAAGTCTGTATGATCCGTCTTGTTTACACAAGAAGATTCTGATGATACCATTATTTGTGGTTCAACTTGCAGTGCATTAATAGCTCTGGAAGTGACATTGGCAAGTGCCAGTTCTACATGGACATGTTGTCTGAGTGCAGGAGGAACTCAATGATGAATGCTTAAGCTTAAGCTTATTGGTTGGGAGTTAATAACTTTGAACTCATTCTTTAATCTGATTGTTAAAAAAGATTGAATTATGATCAAGAACTAGCTGGCACTGATTTGGCAAGTGAATTTGGTTCTTGATATACCTTGCCTCCAATAATTATTGGCTGAAGCCTAAAGTATTGGACTTTTATGGACCTGTCCATGATAACTGTATTTCAGTTTGCTTTTATGCTATGATTTGCTACATTTGGCTTCATTGATTACTATACCCATTGTTTAAGATAATATAACTCCAAGGTCTTGTGTGAGTATAATTTATATGACTAACAAGCTAACATCTTCGAAAGTGTCAAGTATTGAATTTTGACTTTGCCTGTACCCGTGGAATATACCGCATTCATGTTATTGTCCTTTTCTTATTCTGGGTCTCTGATCCATGAAAGATTTTTATTTAGTGCAGCCAAGTATAACTCCCTTATGGCTGGGGGATTAGTTTTTAACATCTAACCAAGTATTATGACTAGCTATGCGCTTTCCTTGAGGTTTTAGTTCCAAATTAGTTGTCAGCCTATATTTGTATCTGAAAATTCTCACTCGGGAAAACAAATCTAATAGTGATATTATGCCGCTTTGATTTACGATCCATGGCCATTCAGCAACGAACTCAATATATTTCCAAAAGCTAAACCTATCTTTCCATATATACTTGTGACTAGGCGATGACATTTTTTTGGTTAACTGCATCTAAAGCTGTCAATATGAGCTAGCCCACTCCATCCGGGCTAATTCGTATAGACTTTGCAATTTGACGTGCCAAGTTGGGCTAACCCATTTTTTATGTGGGCCAAAAAATGGTCGGTCCACAAGTGTGTGGGCGGGCTTTGCTAGGTCAGTCATCTTGTCTTAAAATTATATTTTTTATAATTTTTTAAATTAAATTATAATTTAAAAATATTATGATAAATATCGACAAGACAATATTACATGAGATTAGTGTTACTACTTGTTAATCAAATACACAAATAAAATTATCTATATAATATTTATTAAGTTTGATTCAAGTAAAAACATAAATAGGTAAATAGAAATATTAACATAATTGTTTTCCAATGATCATAATAAAACACAAAAACTATGATAATATTCCATAGGCTATGGCCTATTAAGTTATTCCCTAGAAATTTTAGGAATTTTTTATTTTATGTAGTACATATTTTATAAACATAATTTGTATTTAAATTGTAATATTTCAAATTTAAACAGATTTTGAGTGTAGACTCCTGTTATTTTTAATACTCTATTTTAATTAATTTTTATTTGGCCCACGGGCCGACTCTATCTATATTTCTCAAGCCCACAAATCGACAGACTTATTCAGGTCGAGCTAAAAAGTCCTTTTTCTTAAATGGACTCCAAAAATCATAGCCCTGCCCTATCAAATCACGGATTAGACCAGACCGGCCCAACGGGCCTAGCCCATGTTGACGGCTCTAAGTCTGCATCATTGACAATGAGAATCCTAGAGTAAAATTTAGGAGATTTTACACGAGGAATTGACACAAAGGCACAACTGCTACATAGAATTAGCAATTTATAGCCCAATTTTATTTAGCAATTACTAGTCCAAAAAAAATAATAGCATATATTATCCCAAAAGTAAATTAACTGTATTTTTATAGATTTACTTTTTTACCATCTCACAACCAATTGGCAATAAATAGAAGACGTGGGATTGTTTTGTGATTTTAATTCCTATAACTAAGGAAGTTAGCATTTCAGTTTCCTTAAATTTCTAAACCCAACTCCATTATTAGTATATCTTTTTTTTAAAAAAAAAAACAACGTAGAGCAAATAAGAGCATCAAGATATAAATGACATCTTTGATTGTTTTGATTCATTATAATGGAGAATGGGATAGTAATAATAATTTTGTAGATTGTTCCATAGAAGCGGTGGTTATCAATACGGATATTGATTTCAAATCCTTTATATGTTGATACTTCTATTAATTCTTTTGAATTTCATTATAAAATCGACGTTCAATATCGATGTTGAAACGAAACAATATAGAATTTCGAGTATACACACAATTGAAGAAAGAATAGGAAACTTTCAAATACTATCCATCATGTATAACTTGAAAAGTTATTGGCATACTGTAGACAATAAAATTCGCGTCGAGAAAACAATAATCAAGAACGGAAAATTATGCAACAATCGTTTTATTGATTTAGGTGCGAGTGTTACAATCTCTATTGTTCCTCTGAATTCGCCTTTTCAAATATAATTCAAGGGCTCTTGAGCTTGATCTTGAACTTGAGATTTATCTCGATCTTGATCTCTATCTTGATCTTGATCTTGGACTTGAACTTTATCTTGATCTTGACTTCTAGTTGAATCCAAGGGCTTCGAGCTTGATCTTGAATCCGGCGGTCTTGATCTTGATCGTTCTTGATCTTTGTCGTTCTTGATCTTGATCGTTCTTGAGACTTGAACGTTCTTGAATCTTGAATGCTTGAATTCTTGAACTTGTAGAGAAATCTGCAGCTTTTGATCCACAAGCTTTCTCTAGCTTCTTGTTAAAATTCTTGGTCTTTTTTTCTGATTTATGAAGACCCCTATTTATAGTTTTAAAATAGAGGATTTGTGATTAGAAGAGGACTCCTTTCGGCCAATTAGATTTAAGTGACATGGCATATGGGCTTTATGGAGCAGGCCTTAATTAAATTCATATTTATTGAATTTAAATAATTAACTCAATTATATTAATCCATAATATTTATTTGGACTAATATATTAATGAATTTAATATAATTCCAATCATTTTATAAATTTATATTTAATAAATTTTTAAATGATTACACATACATTATACACTTTCAAGTGCTAAATTTGAAGATGGAATTGTCAATACCAATTTGATTGCTATTGGTGTCAACAACACAAACACTTTATATTTTATTGGTTACAATCATATGATTGTCCGAGAGACTGAATTTTAATGAATGCAATATTATTGCTTGTGTTACTAAAACTATACTAACAGAATGTCAAGTTTACAAGAAATTTCTCTCTCTAATATCTATGATAAAAATAATTATGCTATTCGAATGATGTTTCAATTTAAGGTGAAAAGTTTAAATACGTCAAGGTATTATCAATTAAAAAAACAATTATGTATACATTATGCATTCTCTAAAATAAATGATGTATATACTTATTTAACGAGTTTATTAGGCTAATGTATTCAATCAGTTCAGTATGAATTCATAATGTTTCACTCAAAGAATATTTATGAATACATTATAAATTTATGTATACATTGTTAATATTGTGTATACATAAAAATATTGTGTATTCATTCAATTAGTTTATGTATACAATTAAACGTATGGTTTCTACTGCAATGTATACACATTTGTGTAGACATTAAATATGACTAATTCGTGTATTGATTCAATTAGTAGTTGTGTACATTAAATTGAATGACTTTATACCAATGTATACACAATCATGTATACAATTATTATGTGTTAAATATTACTAATTCAAACCAAATGGCATTACTAATAAAAAATACTTTCTCTCGTAAAAAATGTATAGAATTGCAGTAAATAAAATTCTATAAACAGATTCTACATTCAAGTTACACACTGTTTTGTACTTATACCACCCAAAAAAAAAATGAAATTAAGATTTATTTTTTCAAAAGACTCATGAGATTCCTTTTACCCATGAAAATAAATATAAAAAATAAACACATTATAATCTCAATTTTTGCCCAATTAAATTGAAATCTTCAATTCCACAATATAAAATTCATATAGTTTTGGCAATGACAGATTAAATATATATATATATATATGATAGAGCAAATATAGTCAAGAACAATGAAAAGAAACGATTTAGTATATGAACATAAATACGGAAGAGAAAATTTAAGCAAATACAGATTATATGCATGTATGAAGAATTTGTAAGAAGATAAAAAAAAAAAGGTAAAGAGAAATGTTGAAAGAATCATTATTAACAAAGAATTGTTTAAAATAAGAAATGAGAAGAAGAAAGAATAAAATTTTAACTTTCAATAAATAAAGGATCGGTGAAAGAAAAAACATGTCTTGAGAAAAATTTGGAGAAAATTAGGGAATAAAATAACTTTTTAGAAAAAAAAACCCCACTTTCAAGTAAAAGAAAATATGGCTAATAAATGCCAAATAGATTTTCAAAAATCTTTGTTTTGCTAAAAGATTATAAATGGGCTATTTATTGCCAATTTTAACTATAACATGTCATGCTATGCCAATTTTTCGTTTTACACTTAGACATTCGGCCCAAGTTTGTTAACAAAACCAAACATGGTTGGGCGACAATTAGTAAAGGACTGTAATATATATATATACACATGTTTATACATTACATTTGTGATTGCTCTACTTATGTACGTTGTTTACGTAATGCTATTTACATATTTTTACAGAAGCTGATTTTTTCAGCATATGTTTCTAGGAAATTAAATGTGAGAATAAAAATGGAAGATTATTTTTAGTAATGTGGCAGTAAGCAACTCAATAATAGAGAATATATTTATACATAACAAAAAAAGGAAGAGGCCATACTATCTAACATACTATCCTTGAAATTCACCTTTAGAAGAGAAGGTCAAAAAAGACCAAGCTTGAAGGAGAGAAGTTGAAAAAATACGATTGGTAAAAGCTTATATGATGAAAGCCAATTTATACAAGATGAAGGTATAATTGTTGTTGTCCAAGTTGGCTTCATTTTCCTCCGAAGCATTTGACGAATTCATGATGATTGTTTTGAATTTAGGGGCGGAAGGCATGTTGCTCATGTCGACGACTTTGCGTTTAGTTGCTTCGATAGTGATCATTGGTGTTGTACTTGATCGAGTTGCATTTTGTTTTTCCTCATAATTTTGCAATTGATGTGTCTCGACTTCACCAAAATAGTTTTTTTCATTTGAATTTTTAAGTCGTTTCTAGGCGTTTTCATAGTTGTTCAAGAAACCGTGATTGTTTATGCACCACACGAGTTGGTCCTCACAAATTTCATAGATTTCTTGTATTGAGAGGACAAAAGTTGTGGCCGATCAGTGACATCAAATTTTATACCTTCTCATAAAATATAATGAAAAAAAAATAACGTAATTTATATCTTGGATAAGTAGCATAGATTGACCACATAGATTGACCTTGAGAAAATACTTTATAATCTAAAAGCATGATTAGTTCTCATTTGTTATATTACTGTGAATTGACGATCTATGTAGAATGTTAAATTTGAGGGATGATATTAATTCATTCGTTGTCATATTTTTAAGATATATGCTCGTTTTTCTTACTAATTGTTGCATTTGAATATCATATATGTAATATAACAAGCATAAAATGGAAGATAAATGAAAGAGTTTGATAATTGTTCAAAATTGGAAAATAAATAAATATTGATTTTTAAAGTAAATTTGGGGGTGAAAATCACCTGAGCTTCAGCATTGAATTCGTTCAATTAAGAAGCCATCAGCCATTCAGATAGTGACACGTAGCGACCTTAATAAAGCATACATACATACATACATATCTATATGGGGGAAAAAATATATCTGTGCATTTCTAGGGTTTATTGTGATCCCAAATTCTCTCTGTCTCTAGTCTAGGGTTTCGCCGCCTCTACTAAGAAATCATGGCTCGCCGAAGCTCTGGTAATAAGCATATTCCATCAACACTTGTGTTTTCATCATTTCAATGTAAATCTATCTACTTTTCACGTTGCTCATCGTTTTCGTTTTCTATCGTCAATTTTCCTGAAAATTGAAATGGAACATCGAATATCATACTTCCTTTCAGTTTATTTCTTTTGGATGAATTCATATTTGAACGCAATTGATATATCGTAAGGTTTTGATTTTTTCTTTTAATTCGAGTTCTGGATTGCTATTCCTTAATCTCTATGTCCTAAAATGAATTTTAGTATTACTATTTAGGAAGTCAAAAATTATTTTCTCTGATTTAGATATTTTCAGGCATGTGAGAAATTTCATTGCTACTATAGTAGTTGTAATTTCTAAATGTGTAGCTTTGCTTTTTGATTAAACAGATTAGATACTTTGTATCCCTTATTCTTTTTTGTGATTGATTAAATTCTTTATTCTCTTAATACTTGCGCTACTATGCTTATCTAATGAAGAAACTGTAGATACAATAGTTGGTGCCGTAGTTGGAGCTTGTTTCCCAATTATTTATCTCATGTGTTAGTTAAATCATCTCAATTGAGCTCAAGTTAGATGGATATCAGGTTGATTGTATTTCTGGCTCCTGGGTGTTAAGAAGAAGACAAGCTTTAGTTACATTGAAACCTAATTGCTGTATTGATTTTTTTGCACTGTATTCACCGAAGAACCACTGTTTGTTTGTGGTTCTGAGATATTAGTTTTATTTTTAATTGTGTCTTTCGATTTTTGTATTGGGCATGAGGCTAGAACTTTTGACATGAGATCTTCCTCAAAAATAAAAATGGGGCCTAGAAAATTTGAAATGAGATTTGACCATTGCCAAAAGGGACATGATACAGACTGAATTTCTTACAATAGATTATGCAGAATTGCTTAAAAACTCAATTGTATGTATTTTCGTTAAGTGCATCATTCTTCCTGATCATTGTATAGGATTGAGGTAGTAATATGTTTTCTTGCTGTCTTTATAATATGGTTGCCGACACCCAATTATGTACTGTTATTGTTGTTTTGGTTGGGCAGTTGGTTGCCCTAGTTCATCTTAATTCTCAATCAATGTTTGCATCTGTCACTTTACGTTTTGCACTGAATCTTCTGTTGTAATTTATTAGTTCCATTGGGTGCTAATGGAAAAAGAAGGGGTAACTTTTTGCCCCCTTTTTGTTCTGGTTGATGATTTTTTATTTTCCTTGTTTTGTTATCTAGGAAGATCTGCTCGTCCTGCCCCCCGTGCTGCCCCTCGTCCTGCTCCAGGTTGGTTTTTTTGGTAGTCAGACTTTTATCTCCTGGCAAATTATTTATGTCATTGGTTTGTAGTACAGTTTCCTTCCTTTGCCTGTGCGTTTTCATATTCTCTCTCTTTCTCTTTTATGCAGTAAACCATGCTCCTCCACCAGCTCCCATGCAAAGTAGTGGTGGTGGATCCATGCTTGGTGGTATTGGTTCTACCATAGCTCAAGGTATGAGGATATCCTGCTGTCCTGCAGTATGTAGAGAACTTAAATCATAGTTCTTCAATTATATTTTGTTTGCAAGACTCTCAGCAAGAGCAAAACAGCTTTTAATGACCTTTCTCTTTTCTTCATAAAAATATATTTTCTTTACAAAGCTGTCCTCCAGTATGTTGAGAACTTAATAACAGTTCTTCAAGTATATTTTGTTCGCGAAGTTGCTTACAGATGTCTAGTCTGTTTCTGATTTTTATGTTTTACAGGTATGGCCTTTGGCACCGGAAGTGCTGTGGCACACAGGGCTGTAGATGCTGTCATGGGTCCACGCACCATTCAACATGAAACTGTTGCTTCTCAGGCACCTGCTACAGCTGCTCCAATGACTAGCGGTGCTGGTTCAGATGCTTGCAGTATGCACACTAAGGCATTCCATGATGTAAGTGTTAATTTCACACCATTAAACTACTATAATTTGCAAATTGGAGGTTGTTCTTTGGTCTTTATGTCAGTATGACCTGTCTTGTCTTCACAAGAAGATTCTGATGAAGCCATTGTTTGTGGTTCAACTTGCAGTGCATTAATAGCTCCGGAAGTGACATTGGCAAGTGTCAGTTCTACATGGACATGTTGTCCGAGTGCAAGAGGAACTCAATGATGAATGCCTAAGCTTTTGTTGGTTGGGTGTTACTTTTATAATGTTAAACTCATTCTTAATGGTATTGTTGGAATTATGATCTAGGTGCATTGATTTGGCAAAGTGAATTTGGTTTTTGATATACCGTGCCTCCAATAATTATAGGTTGAAGCCTGTGAAGTATTGGACTTTTATAGACCTGTCCATGCTACTATATTTCAGTTTGCTTTTTATGCTATGATGTGCTGCCTTTGATTACTATCCAATTGTTAGAGATACGAGAACTCCAAGTTCTTCTGGCAGACATCTTTAAAAATGCCATGAAACTAGAGTATCGATTCTAGACTTCGCCTGTCTTTGTGGACAAGGGCTGCTGAGTTCCAAATTACTGCTATTGTCCTTGAGTATTCTTATTCTGCCACTCATTTCCATGAAAGTTTTTTGTTCAAGTGCAACTAAGTATAACTCTCTTTTGCTGGTGGAATTTTATTCCAAGTACAACTTTTTGTATTGGAAATTCAACGACTCAGATGAAAAGAACCTCTCAGAATAAGGATCATGTTCAGTACCCTGTTGTAAGTGCATGTCTATTATTTGCTGGCATGGGTTCTAAAACAACAGTATTCAGCTTCCTCTATTCCTATTTCGAGAGGTTTTGTTGCATATGATTTAGCGGGTTGTTCTTAAAAGGTTTGTTAATATTCAGTCATGTGAGTGCTAAATTAGATAATTAGATGTTTGTAACAAAGATTTGGATCCCTTTTTCTATATGATGCAATATGCATCGTGTTATGTTTTAACTTGTAGCTATCCGCTGTTGTATTATTAATAACTAGTATACGTGCCCACGCGTTGCGCGGATAATTTAAAATGTAATATTTTATAATTAAAAATAATTAATAAAATGTACAATGTACTTAATAATATATTTAATGTATTATAATAATAATATATAATAATACAAATCATTACCTTGTGTATGTATTTGAGCAATATTAAATTAATATTATCAGTACACAATTTAATTTATTATATATATATAGAGAGAGTTTATTCTTTTATGTTGTTTGAATAAAAATAAATTATGTTAATAATTTATTAATTCTAACCTTCCATATGAACTATTTGATATCATAAGACTAAATAACATGTTGAAACATTTTATATATGTTTTATTCAAAATTAAAAGATTCAAAATATTATTTATTGTATTAGTTTGTGTAAAATATAATAGAAAATTGATATAAAGGTAAAAATAATCTTAGTTCGTACAACCGCTATATTAGATCTAATCAATGTATGTAGAGGATATATTAAATTTTAATTTGAATATATCATAAAACATATAGATATAAAGGAGAGGTTGTTTATTTGAATTTTATCCAATAAAAGCATATTATGTGTAATTATAGTTATCTTTGAATTCAAATTTAAAAAGTTAAAAATTGAAAATTAAAAACTTATCATATATTTTAAAATCACAATTTTCAACTTAATTTAATGTTGTTATATAATATTGTGAATAGTTTTGAATTTGCTAAATGACTTATATTAGTGATATTGTTCAAGATAGAATTTAACGCTAGCTAGATATGGATAAATATTATTTATCTTAAATTCAAAAGTTTAAATTTTATTTCTCATAAATATTTTCCAATTTTGAAATTTGATTGTCCTTTAAAAGTAATATTATGAAAACATAACTTAATGCCTTCTATGTTTATGATAGTGATAGAGATTATCATTTTATAATTTTTGCTATGACAATTCCTCATTTATCTTGTGTTAAGGTTGAAAACCTGCAAAAATAAATAAATAAATAATAATAATAATAATAATAATAATAAACATAGAAGACATTAAATTATGTTTCTCATAACATTATAATTGGATTAATATTAATATTATTATTATTATTATTATTAGTTCTATTTTTTAGATTATAGGTTATATCTTATTAAAAATATATTTATTTTAAAAAGCAAATAAAAATATCTGAAATAAAACTTAAAATATTAAATAATATTTAAATGATAAATTTTAAAAGAAACTTCCATACTTGGGTTTTTTTTTAAATAAATAATTTTAATTTAAAAGTTTTTCAATTTGGTTAGAAGTAGGAGTGTAATGGGAAGTTTTAAAACTCCCTATTTAGTTGGGTAAATATTATTTTTTTTCAAAATAAAAATTAAAACACCTTTTTTTTTCCATAGGTGGTTTTTTTTTTTTTTAATAAATAATTTTAATTTAAAAGTTTTTCAATTTGTTTAGAAGAAGGACTGTGGGAGTGTAATGGGAAGTTTTAAAACTTCCTATTTAGTTGGATAATTATTACTATTTTTTTTCAAAATAAAGACTAAAACGACATATTTGGTTGGCTTTTTTTAAAAATAAAATAATATATTATAATTATTATAATTATTAGTGTAGATTATTATTAAAAATAAAAGGTAGAACATAGAGATTATAAGTTGTATTTTTCTTAAAAATATTTATTTTAAAATGTTAATAAAATAAATTGATATAAAACTTCAAAATTAAATATATTATTTAAATGATGAATTTTAAATGAAACATCCATGCGTGGGTTTATAATATGAGGAATTAGATGTCATTTTTAAATGATAAAATTAAATTAATTTTTAAATGTAATTAGATTTAATAATTTAAATTAAGTTATTTCAAAGGATAATACTTGATAGTTCCACAAAATTAGATAATGCTTGATAGTTCCACAAAATTAGGCTCAAAAACTAAATTTCAGATGCATAACTTCCGCGTGTTTTTTTATTTTTATTTTTTATATTTTCAAAGTTTAAATTTTTTATTTTAAACTTGAAAACCACAAAAAATTAGCATTTCTATTTTGAAATTTAATTTAAATATTTCTGTTTTTTTAAAAAATAATTAGGATTCGAAATTTTCTGGTAGGATTCGAAATTTTATAATATATTATTTAGTGAAAAGATTTACACTTTTTACAAAATTGATTTAAAAAATTGTTCAGAAATAGCAAGGTAGTGGAGGTTTTAAAACTACCTATTTAAATTATAATTATCAACATAATTAATTTAAATTAAGAATAAAAATTGAAAAATTGAATTATAATTGTTTTTAAATTCAAAATTCTAACGGAATATATAAATAGAAAATAAAGAAAAAAGAAGAGCAAAAAACTACGTTTTAGTATCTAAAAAAGAGGTGCTTTCAAGGATAAAGATAAGATTAGTTACTTATGTTTTAAAATTTAAATTTTAAATTAATTATTTAGACAATTTTGATAATATTTTATATAATTAGCATAAACAAAAATTTTAAATGTTCGCTTATTTTTCTCCCTACACAACTCATCACCCACGTTTCCAAAATTATTTGTTTTAGACTTTTATTATATATAATATAATTATATAAAATAATAGATTGGAGAACAATAATTAAAAAGATGAGTAGATGTAATATTTAATATTTTTTAAATCCGAAAATTTAAGAATTTTTGTGGTGCTAATATATTTAATTTTATATTCAATATTTAATTTTATATAAATATATTTTAATTCCTAAATCATTGCACTCTTATATGGGTATATGCAATATATTTTAAAAACCTAAATTATAGCATCATTACTTGTACATGCAATTATCTACCAGATATTTTATCATAATATAATTTACATAACAATAGGCTAAATTGATTTGTTTTTTAAAATTTATTTAAATGTAAACATAAATGTGTTATTCCTAAACTTTAGCAAAACATTATTGGGGTAGTTATATATGTATTTTTTTTAAACGTGAGAATATTTTTTTTTTAAAAAATGGTACAATTATTTAATAGAGAAATTTGCACATGATCACTTCTTTACCTGATATATGAAAATGAGTAGTAAGAGATGAATTTAAATTTACCATCACAATCGAAAAGAAAAGCCAATGCCGGAATTGAGAAGATCTTCATCATTCTCAAGAATTATCGGCTAAGCACTTGATTTTGAGATTAACCATTCATTCTTGTGTTTTTTATGTGGAAACAACCATCCAAAATTCAAATGGTCAGTACTGATATAAAACTAAATCATCCCTTCGGGGATATCAGATAAAATTGATGCAGTAATCACAAATTCTTGAACTTAACAATAAAATAAAATACAAATTAAATTAATGAATAAAAATAAGAAATGAAATTTTATCTTCACATAGAAATAACACTATCTACAAATAATTCAATAAGAAATAATGATCAATTATGCTATATGAACAATTATTTGGATGATAATTACATAAAAATTCAACCTATCACCACAAAATAAAAAGCAAAAAAAAAAATCCGTGAGAAAAAAATGTCCGTGATAGAAGGGAATGGGGAATAGGGGAAGTAGGAGGAGTGGTGGTTTTCAACGCTGCTCTATCTTTTTGATTTTATAAGCATTTAAAATTTAAAATAAAACGGTCATAAATCACTATTAAAACTGCCTTATTAAAACTGTCATAAATATATTATCTTTTAATGAAGTTAAAATCAAATTTATAATTCAAACCACAAAATAGTTAAAGATTTAGTGGAGTTTTCAAAATTCAAACCACATAACTGTTATTTATTTTCAAATTAATTATCTAATTTTAATTAGTTACCTTTACACTACTGCCCTTTTTGTAACTCAAAATTTAAAAGATAACAATATTTATCTAAAGTTTAAACTGATCCAACTAATTTTATACTAAATAAGATTTTAAATTAATTTAGTTAATTTAATTATAAATTTAAGTTTAATTCTTTAAAATTGAGAAGTTGTAAAATTTTGATTTTGTCCATAATATGTATTTTTTTATTTTTAGAAAACGTGGGAAGTTAGACTTTTTTTTTTAAAAAAAAAAAAAAAACTCAAAATCGTGTTTTCAATTTTTTTCCTTTTTCGTTTGTAATTTTTCATTTTTATTTTTATTTTGGGATTTTAAATTAATTTAGTTAATTTAATTATAAATTCAGATTATTATTATAAAATAGACTATTCAGTTGGATGTTTTTTTAAAAAAAATTATACTATTATTATTATTATTATTATTATTATTATTATTGTTATTTATTAAATAGATACTTTTTATT